TTCTTCTTCTTCTTCTTCTTCTTCTTCTTCTTCTTCTTCATCCTCATCCTCTTCCTCTTCTTCTTCTTCTTCTTCTTCCTCATCCTCTTCTTCATCCTCATTCTCTTCTTCTTCATCCTCATCCTCTTCTTCTTCATCCTCATCCTCTTCCATCATCCTCATCCTCTTCTTCTTCTTCTTCTTCTTCCTCACCATCATCCTCTTCTTCTTCTTCATCCTCATCCTCTTCTTCATCCTCATCCTCTTCTTCTTCTTTCTTCTTCTTCATCCTCATCCTCATCCTCTTCTTTTTCTTCTTCTTCTTCCTCATCCTCATCCTCTTCTTCTTCATCCTCATCCTCATCCTCTTCTTCTTCGTCTTCTTCTCATCCTCATCTTCTTCTTCATCCTCATCCTCTTCTTCTTCTTCTTCATCCTCATCCTCTTCTTCTTCTTCTTTCCTCATCTTCTTCTTCTTCATCATCCTCATCCTCTTCTTCTTCTTCTTCATCCTTATCCTCTTCTTCTTCTTCTTCTTCTTCTTCTTTCATCCTCATCCTCTTCTTCTTCTTCATCCTCATCCTCTTCTTCTGCTTCTTCTTCTTCTTTTCTTCTTCTTCTTCCTCATCCTCTTCTTCTTCTTCTTCTTCTTCTTCATCCTCATCCTCTTCTTCTTCATCATCCTCACCCTCACCATCACCCTCTTCTTCTTCATCCTCATCCTCTTCTTCATCCTCTTCTTCTTCTTCTTCTTTATCCTCATCTTCTTCTTCATCTTCATCCTCTTCTTCTTCTTCTTCATCCTCATCCTCTTCTTCTTCTTCTTCATCCTCATCCTCATCTTCTTCTTCTTCTTCTTCTTCTTCTTCTTCCTCTTCTTCTTCTTCTTCTTCTTCATTCCTCATCCTCTTCCTCTTCTTCATCCTCATCCTTCTTCTTCTTCTTCATCCTCATCCTCATCCCTCTTCTTCTTCTTCATCCTCATCCTCTTCTTCTTCTTCATTCCTCATCCTCATCCTCTTCTTCTTCTTCTTCATCCTCATCTTCTTCTTCTTCTTTCTTCTTCTTCTTCATCCTCATCCTCTTCTTCTTCTTCTTCTTCTTCTTCTTCTTGCTGCTGGGGGGACTTTTTAACATAGGCCTCTGTATGGCCTTCAATTTAAGCTGCTTACGCTTCGCCACTCTGCCATGGGCCCCTGTACCGCCTCCTCATGCTGCTGCCAGGTCCAGAGTGTGTCATGGGTCCCTGTACGGCCTCCCATTGCTGCTGTCTCCATCGCCACACTCTGCCATGTGCCACTTTCAGGTCTCCTCTCACTGCTGGTGGGTTCCATTTTGTCATAGGGTGCTGTATGGCCTCCCATTGCTGCTGCCTCCACCGCCACACTGTGGCTCCACACTCTGGTTTTGGCCCCGTGACTGCCCAAATGAGTGAAGAGTGCGGTGATTCTAAGATCGACGGCACTCATCTGCATGTCATACTGACTGACAGTATTATTTCTCTTCCCCAGCAGACTCCAAGGGCATTTAAATTAAAGGTACAGTGTTCTGCACTTATATAAAGGCTCTCTGAAGCCTAGAAACCCTTTTAAATTCGCAGCGAATAAATTCGCATTGAATCGAATTTATTCCGCAAATTCGGCGAATCAGCCGAATCGAATTTTTGAATAATTCGCTCATCTCTAATTTTAACCTTTCCCTCCTACTAAAAAAACAGTTTCTGTCTGGAAAAAAACATTGTCAGCAAAACAGGACATTAGGGGGAATCTCTTTAAAGGTAAACCAGATAAGAGTAAAAACTCACAGAGGTTCTAACCATTCTCTTTCCATTCCAAAACTAAGATAAACAGTTTTGCATGACATTGAATAAGAAGTCCAGGTATGGCATTTATTTACCTAGTTACACTGGTCCAGCTTGGCATATGTCATACCTATGAGATCCCCCTAGAACAGTGGTCACTAAATGGCAGACAGTGGTCCGGAACCAAACTGAGGAACAGTCCTGTCCAGACCGCAGCCATGCCATGGCTGGGTATCGTCTTCCAGGCCTCTCACTCAGCCACCGATGTCATCCTCACAGTGGGCGGGGTGTGAGTAGCTGAAGATCGGGACTGAGGGGCAGGAGCTGGTGATTACCCAGCTTGTTAATATGTAAAGACTTCCCCTCTCTGCAGCTTGAGACAGAATGTGGGAGTCTTTTCATATTAGCAAGCCAGGCAATCTCCTACTTGTTAACATAATAACTTGGGCAGCTCCGACCCCCGCCTGCTATAAGAATGACATCGGTGGTAGGCTGGAGGCACAGGAGAGGACACCCCAGAATGATTAGTGCCTCTGCTCTGCCTAAGGTACCATAAGACTGTGCAGGGGAAGGATTTCATTAAAATAGGCACTGTGTTACGTTAAGTGGTGCTGTGTTGTGTTAAGGGGCACTGTGTTGTGTTAAGGGATGTTGTGTTGTGTTAAGAGGTGCTATGTTGTGTTAGGGGCACTGTGTTGTGTTAAGGGGTGCTATGTTGTGTTAGGGGCACTGTGACGATCGCGGCGTCAGACCGCAGCCCTTCTCGCCAAACTCGTGACCGAAGGACTAGCCAATCTAAAACCATGCTGTCACGTGCGTAACAATGCCACGTCCAGCTGCACCCTGCACAAAGATTTTCCAGCTCACTGGACCACAATCAATGTACCGGCAGCCTGGGAGCGATTGTTAATGGGTCAGGTTAATTGCGCAATTAACCCTTCACACTGGCACCACCTCCTTTTTGTACAGAGAAAGAGGAAACTCGGCAATATTAGCAATACACTATGATGTTTGAATAATCGTTTGCACACACAAAGTCACCACAGACAGATGTATGCAGACGTTTAAAACACACAGTAGCGTTCTTCAGAGGCAGGAAGTCGTAATTTGCATTAAAGAGCGTTAGAAACAGTTCAACACTTTCAGAAAGGAAGATTTATTACTAAAAGGTCAAAAGGGTGCAATAAAAATATTTACAGAAAAAGATGTAGCCAATATATATATAAATATACAGAGAACAATAGCACAGCAAAGAAAAACAGAAAGAAGTGTAAGTACTTGCCAAAACGCCTTGGTTTAAGCAGCTTCCAAGTTTCAGAGCCAAAAATGCTTTTATCTCCCTCTGTCAGTTTCGATGTTAAAGCAGGGAGATCTTCAACTCTCACACACAGCTCAACTCAGCCTAGCTTAACGTTTCTAGTAATTCCACAAAGTGTCTCCCTGGAGCAGTAAACCAATCGCCTCATTTGGGGAGGGAGGTGTAGGTGGAGCCCTAAGTTATGACCAAAAACTCTCTTAGCTTCTATTATGATTTATAACTTATTCTTGGGGCATTTAGCAGCCTTGCCACTAGCAGATTAATACGTAGCCACATCTGCGGAATGGTTAGATATGAAATATGACATATTTACTTAAATAGTTCAGGAGATACAATTTTTCTGCTCTCTGGTATGTGTCAGATAGAGGGTGTAATATATCAGGAAATTTGTATTAACGTCAGCCGTCCGAATATGTGCTCCATGTTTGTGTAATTATGTCCTACGTGAAGATATAAACTTATATAAAAAAAGGAGTTTTTAAATGTATGTCTGTTTTTACGACTCTCTGGAATGTCTTTTGAACCCAGTGAAGGACTTGGGTTATGGTTTTATGATATCCCAGATTGCACAGCTAACAGACAACTAGGCACCAGCGAGGCTGGGGGTTTTATACTGTAGCTCTGGAGCTTTCCTGCTGTACCTTGATTGCCTGTGACCTCTGTCATCACCCAGACCACGTGTCACTCAACAGAGAGTGAGGGGGGATGATTGGAGATGATTGGAGGAGGAAGCCTGCCTTGGGAGTGAGAGATGGTACAAAATGGAAGATGCTTAACAAAATGGAGGCCTGCGTCCATCTCTGTGTGCACAATTGCTACAGGCACTGTGTTGTGTTGGGGCACTGTGTTGTGTTAAGGGGTGCTATGTTGTGTTAAGGGGCACTGTGTTGTGTTAGGGCGCATTATGTTGTACTAAGGGGAACTGTTATGTTTAAAGGGCACTGCGATGTAAAGGGGGGCAAAGATGTGAAGGGGAACTGAGGACACTGTGGGACTTCTTTAAAGAGGGGTCTGTGGTGTAGTCGGACTACAGTGTGAAAGGTACGCTAAAGACAATAATGTACCAGGAGACTGTGATGTGTTATGTTGCTAACAAGATTCAGACCTCTGCTGGAAGGAAATTTTGCTGACCGGACCTCCGTAAACTTTATATCAAGACCCCGCTCTAGAAGATGGACATCACTGCAGTAGACGCCGCTACTCCAGTGATCTCCACTAGCTTCTGGGTCCCTTGTCGAGCAGCTGCCCTGCTACACTGTGAACACTCGGCAGAGGTGCCATTTAAAAGAAAGCTTTGCATTTTCTCATTGAATACAAAGCATTCTCTCATTGGACAAGGTGGAGAGTATGCAATCACCACCCTGCCTTTCCACCAACCAATCAGAGAATGATTTGCATTCATTGGGAAAATGCTAAGCATTCTCTGTATGGCACCCAAGCTGAGTAGTCAACCTCCTGTGTTCAGAATGTAGCAGGGCAGCCTCTCGGCATGGAGCTTTGAAGCTAGTGGTGATAATTGTGGTAGCAGTGTCTACTACTGGTTTCCAGCTTTTAGAGGAATCCCACATGGATCAGTGCAACTATGGAAAAAATGGCATGTCAAAGTATTCGAAGAGTACTATGACTTAGCTAATAAAGCAGATCAGCAAAAGTATCTCCTTTTCAGACACGGTTGTTTCTAAATTAAGCTTCAGATGGAGCCATTTTATATGCAATGGTGTGCTTTTATTCAACAAAAATGAAAAGAATAGGGTACATAAAAACAACAAAAACATGGTGTAGACTGAAATTTACCTTTAACCACCTCCCGCCCGCCATATAGTAATATGACGGGCGCAAGTTGGTTCTCTCGTTCTGGGAGGACGTCATATGTTGTCCTCCCATTCTCACTGTGCTTGCGCGGCTCAGGGTGCGCGCAGCACGGCGATCGGCGGTGCACTGTGTCCTTCGGACACAGCGGATCACCAATCACGGAAAGAGCCGAAGATGTCGGCTCGGTCATGTGATCAGCTGTGTCCAATCACAGCTGATCACATGTAAACAGGGAAATGCCGGTTATCGGCATTTATCTCCTCTCGAGCTGTCACGCTGACAGCTCGAGAGGAGAGGAGAGCCAGTAATTGGCTTTCCGCGGAGGGGACATGTACACTGATCATCAGGGCACTGATGATCAGTGTGTCCTGATGATCAGTGTAGCCCCAGCAGTGCCACCTGTCAGTGTTCATCAGTGCCTTATGTCAGTGTTCATCAGTGCCTCGTGCCAGTGCCACATCAGTGCCACATATCAGTGCCTACCAGTGCACATCGATGTCACATATCAGTGCCCATCTGAGCTGCCTTTCAGTGTCACCCATCAGTGCCACCTATCAGTGCCACCTATCAGTGCCAGTCAGTGCCACCTATTAGTGCCAGTCAGTGCTGCCTATCAGTGCATGCCAGTGCCGCCTATCAGTGCCTGTCAGTGCTGCCTATCAGTGCCAGTCAGTGCCGCCTATCGGTGCCAGTCAGTGTCGCCTATTAGTGCCAGTCAGTGCCACCTATCAGTGTTGCCTATCAGTGCCATATATCAGTGCCATGTATCATTGCTGCCTTTCAGTGCCCATCAGTGATGTCTGTAAATGCCCATCAGTGCCACCTACAAGTGCCTCCTCATCAGTGCAAAACAGTACCACCTATCAGTGTCTATCAGTGCAGCCTATCAGTGCCCATCAGTGCAGCCTCATTAGCGCACATCAGTGAAGGAGAAAAATTATTTATTTACAAAATTTTATAACAAAAACTAAGAAAAAACATTTTTTTTCCAAAATTTTCAGTGGTTTTTGTTTTTTTTTAGAAAAAATAAGAAACCCAGAGGTGATTAAATACCACCAAAATAAAGCTCTATCTGTCACAAAAAAATGCTAAAAATTTCATATGGGTACAGTGTTGTTTGACCGCGCAATTGTCATTCAAAGTGTGACAGCACTGAAAGCTGGAAATTGGCCTGGGCAGGAAGGGGGTATAAGTGCCCTGCAGGCTAGTGGTTAATTAGACACCAACATTTTATTGGTAAACATTCTATGGCAGACTGGAGGTGACTATCTTATCCCAGAGCTTATCATGGGAAGCAGCATTTACAATATTTAGACTCTGTGTATTTGGCAAATGAATGTCCACTGGGATCTTCATGTACTATGTTCTTATCGTAGTAGTTAAAAGAATTATCATTAGCTAACAGGCATGCTGGCTTAGCAGAAACCTGCTGCAAGAATGATCATGATAAGCAATAACTGAAGTAATAATTAGCTGTTACCGATTACAGTGATTAGGTAACACTTGTGCCAAGCTTTCTAAGCACATTAGTTCGTGTTTTAAATGTATGAATCAACCACCAACAGTTGATGCTTTTATCTGTTACAGAGTTAGTTATTAAGGAAAATTAGCAAAGAGCAGCTTATTGCGGAGGCTTTTATTTCTGTATTCAATATCACACTTTCTGTAATCAAGGAGGTGTTCTCTTATATAGCTACTCACAGCTGTTTTGCTTAGGGCTTATTCCATGGAGTTTGCTGTAATGTGTACTGCAGGCAAACCACACAGTACTTAAAAAATACATTTATGCCAAGAAGGCACATTCTCAACAATATGATGCATTTTTGGGTGGCATCGGGGAGGAGATGGGATAACTAGAGCTCTGAAGTAAAGGCGAGTCTGAAAATCATGATAAAGATCACCTGGCATTGGAGGCCTGCCACCATGTATGGGGACTGCTGGGACCTGCAGTCTACCCTGAATAGCCCCAGTTTACAGATACTCCCAAGATGGACTCTTTTCAGTGCAGGTATGCTGGGGCAGCCAAAGGGATTAGGGACGTTAGGAAAAGACTGTGCACTTTGTTTGAAGTTGTAATGTACGCAACTTTAAGCAAAACTTGTGAAACTTTGCCTTTGCCTGGTCTGAAGTTACTAAAGTGGTGTAATGCAAGTAACCAGCACATTCTGCACATAGTCTACAGCTTGGGTCAGTAAAGCACACTGGGGTATGAAGACAGCTCAATAAGAGTTGGTGCCAAAGGATAATGGAGGTTTCACAAGCAGACTGTTGTGAAGAGTGTGCCTATGACAGGTGGGACAGCCTCTTGCAGGGAGAGTGTTTGGACTCTCTCCATGAGCACTCCATCTCCCATAGCAATGGGAGCAGATCAGCAATGCAGAGATCCTATGCACAGGTACAGAAAAGGAAGAGTTAATGCAGAACATGTATGGAGCTCATGCTAGGTGCTCGGCGGGGCTAGATATGCTAGACAGGTGGAGTGAGCATAGGCTCTGCATTTAAAGCTAATTGGTGCTGCGCTTATTCTAAGTAAGAAATAAACTCCTATTATAAATATACCACACAAAGTATTAATAATAATGAAAATGCTATGATAATATACACAAAATTAGAAATAAAATATAGAATAGAATACACATGAAACATCCAAACTTATGGACAACAGTGAATAACACCCAAACATAAAAAAGGCATAACCTAGGTACACAAATGGAAATAAATAGGTGACTATTGGTGAAAAATATATGCTGCTTCTTTCATAAATTGTGCCCACATAAAACAGTGATATGATCCTTAAATAGGATCCCAAAAGAACAGTGATAAAAAATAAAGCCACAAAACTTCTATAATGCAACTAAATCGTTGCTATAAGAAATAATCCCAAGATGTATGTATTCACAGTGAACATAATGAAAATTGGGTGAAAGTGAAAAAAAACAGTTGAAACGGTGTATAATGAAAATTAAGCCACAAGGCTTTATGCAACACAACTCTGTTGCTGAAGAAAATAGGCAGCCAAAACTTACGGATAAAAGTGAAAATAGTGATGAATAGAATACACGTGAAAGCCACAGAACAGTGACCCCTAAATCGGGGATAAGCGAATAAATAATTAAATAAATGACATGAACTCAACTCAATACCTTTTGAAGTGGGTCCTAGCTCCTGGTTGATGCGATATTGTATGAGAAAGCCATATTGGCCCTGTAAGGTCACTCCATGGAGGTGAGGGGTCATTTTGCCTAGTGTTGGTTCTCCTCGTATTGTGCATACACCTTTAAAACACCAGCACTATCTAAGATCTATAAAACACCTTCACTGTTTAAGGTGTTCTGGACTTTATGTTTTGGCTGGAATGTATGGAGTTCATGTGACTTATTATTATTATTATTTATATATATTTTTAGGACTAATTTGGTCCATATAGTTTGTGTCACTTATTTAAATATTTATTCACTTATCCCCGATTTAGGGGTCACTGTTCTGTGGTTTTCATGTGTATTCTATTCATTACTATTTTGACTTTTATCTGTAAGTTTTGGCTGCTTATTTTCTTCAGTAACAGAGTTGTGTTGCATAAAGCCTTGTGGCTTAACTTTCATTATACACAGTTTCAACTGTTTTTTTGTTTTTTTCACTGTCACCCAATTTTCATTATGTTCACTGTGAATACGAACATCTTGGGATTATTTCTTATAGCAACGATCTAGTTGCATTATAGAAGTCTTGTGACTTTATTTTTTATCACTGTTCTTTTGGGATCCTATTTAAGGATCATATCACTGTTTTATGTGGGCACAATTTATGACAGAAGCAGTATATATTTTTCACCCACAGTCACTTATTTATTTCCAGTGGTGTACCTAGGTTACGCCTTTTTTATGTTTGGGTGTTATTCACTGTTGTCCATAAGTTTGGATGTTTCATGTGTATTCTATTCTATATTTTATTTCTAATTTTGTGTATATTATCATAGCATTTTCACTATTATTAATACTTTGTGTGGTATATTTACAATAGTAGTTTATTTCTCACTTAGAATAAGTGCAGCACCAATTAGCTTTTTATTTGTCATTTTCCCATCTGGTATATGGTAAGGTGTTAGCAGCTTTTTTGTTATACTGATTAGGAGGCCTAGAGCGCGGGAGGACCATATAGATATAGGCTCAGCATGTCCCTCCTAATTGCAACAAATTACAATGAAGGTGTACATTGACACAGGGACAAGAGAGTTAACTGGAGTACAGTTTATTGTTCAAGTGTACAAGGTGAATGACCATCTCTAAAGTTGGGGTTCCACCTTAGGTTGAGTTATCCCAGAAAACATCCTCTGCCTTGTCCCAGAGCATTGGTGAACACAACACAAAGTAAAGGTACCCCATGTGTAAGGTGAGTAACCCTATCCAAGGTGCCTAGTGTAGCCCAGAAGAAAGCATCATGAGGTACGCCTTTTATGTGATCAATACTTTGTGCCCACTGCACAGGGGAACCTGGAGGAAGTACCACCCACCTACTGTACCCCCAACAGCTTACACATTAAATTATCTACATACAGTGTATTAGTGAGCCTGAATCTGATTTATGTCAAGGCAATAAATGGTCCTTGTACATATGCATTTTTCCATATAAAATGGTGCAGCAGTGTTTTGTGTTCCATGGTGATTCGTTGGGAATTTAAACTTGGACCTCTCGTGACTTTTTTTTAATATGTGACCAGGTTTACTGAGGCCTATAAACTGTATTCTATTTTTAGACACAAAGTTGACATTTACAAAGCAATGATATACTGAATGAGAGTGTAAATCTACTTCACCAGGCTGTCTCTTGAGCCCAAAACTAAGCAGACTGCTAAAGAGTAAGGTGTCAGCTAAAGCATTCAAGTTTTAGCCTCAGACTGGGTCAGTGGGATTTATATACTAAAGGAGTGGAATATTCACTTAGCAAAGTGAAGCTTTAGCCACTCTTAAAGTCCAATCACATACAGTAAAAATATATAAATCAACCCCATTCTGTAAGGTTTACCAGTAGGAGTCATGCTCTGCAAAAAACAGACTTATTTCAATCAGAGGGGAGAAGCATGGCAGATAGATCTTGAGGTGTGTAGTAGCCAAGCCAATCAGTTCAGGTGGAGCCAATTCACTGTATAGCAATTGGGGCACAGCCCTAAGTGAGCCCTGCCAACAACCAATAGGAGCAGAGTTGGCATTTTCTGCAGAGCAGTGCCTGTTGCCCAGCAAAAAGACTCACAAAGTGGTTGAAAGGAGAGGGAGAAGTTACTCCTAACCAGGGGTGAACTGATAACTCATGGGGCCCCCAGGCAATAGGGGATCATGGGGCATCTGTGTCCTTGCCCACACTCAAAAAAGACTATAAAAAAGATACCAGGGGCATTTCATGGGGCCCCCTACTGACCCCGGGCCCTCAAGCAGTACCCGAGTGCTCGAATGGTCAGTCCGCCCCTGCTCCTAACATTACCTCAACCCTACCATCTCCCCCCCCTCCCTGAAGAGAGGTCTCCAGATGCAAAGGAGCGGTATTATCAGGATGGTAAAGTCAGCACCCAACACCTTTCTTCTGGGCTGAAACCCTTCCAGTGGATGAGGTACTAAGTAAGTTCTTACTCTTTTTGGAGTCTAACATTCTCAAATTCTTTCTGAACACTGTCAATAACTAGAGGTTTACAGAAGAC